CTACTCTTAGCTGGTTTTCAGGCACATTTTCAGAGGGCTGAAAAGGTTATTTCATCATGTTTATGGTCATTCTGACCATTTCCATTGCGTTCCCAGTCATGTAAATGATATGTGGAACTAGTAAAACTGACTAGAGGTCCAAACAGAACTCTGATATCTTGCTTCAAAAAATTTTCAAAATCCAGCATGGCTTTGTCACTTCCTGTTTTGTCATTTCCTGTTAACTTCCATGGCACCTTAAGGTGTATATCCATATTGTCGTCTAAGGAAGAACCCTCCCTGCCTGCAACTTACCTCTCAGTACCTCATATGTTCTTGTTTGATTCTGATATATGTCCGAGTAACCCTTTTTTTGTATCGTCTCTCAATTAAATCAGTACGTGTATAGTGCCTCGTTGGTATACAGCGCTATGTGAATCAAATAAGCGTAGAGGGCATACAGAATAACAGATATCTCTGTGGTATCTTGTTTAGGCAATAGATTTCGTCCAAAGAACAATGTGTACACACACAGGGTCAATACAACCTACTTGAGATTTGTTTTGCTCATCGTATAGGAAAAGTAGTACTTAATACACTAGTTCGCTACTTTGTAGATGTATGGCACGTATATGTGTACATGTATTGGCAATTAATGTTTGGTGATAGCTAGTAGGAGTGTCAGGGACCGCTGACAGATTATTATTTTGAACCAAAAAATTGAATCAGTAAATCAATGGGGCAATCAGGTCCTACGTGCTTTTTACAGGCCCAGAAATCAATGCTCGCTCATAAATGTAGCAATATCTTTTTTCGTTCGTGGGATATTTTTTTCACCATATAACCGAACGGGAAGTTTTTGAATAGGACTACATGATCTGAATGGATGCGAGGATTCGATGGGCTGGGATTTGAGAAATTATGATTTGAACGTTGCCAATTTTACATGTATTCCAATGGGTGAAAAAGTAAGTTGCTTTCTACCACAAGCATTATAGATAAACATGTTTTCACATACGTAATTGTATTAACCCCACTCTCAAAATGATTTTTATGAATCTTTTGTTCCACTACTTGATATATGGACACCAGTCCTTGCTTTTGCAATTACAAATAAACGGTACAACACAATATTTTATATTCATGAACTTTGATAAAAATTACTTTAACTGTGTATGATTCTAATGAACAAACTCGCTAGACCCTCATGAGATAACTCAATATAAACAACCCTCGCAAATATTGGTTACTGTGTTTAACGAAGCATTTTTGTAAAAAAGGTTAGATAAAAATTAAAAAAATTATCCACATTGCCTTTTCCACCCGAATGTTGATTTTTAAATATTTAATTTGACCAAGCTAGCATTCACAAAGGACCATGTGCAGTATTGTAAGTGAAAGAAATTATGGAACATGGTACATGGCCCTTAAAATATTTGAATTCTAAGTTGTGAATTACGACCAATTTCAATTTGGAACTTTTTTTCAATGGTGTGCCTAAATGGTTAGTCACTTTGATCATGCTAAGATAAGGCTCGTATCAGTACACTGCGTTCAGCATGGTAATAGCAAATAACATGACATCGCCTTAAAGACCAAAATCCGGTATAAAAGGAGAAGGGGTTGCTTGGAACAGCCAAATATGTCTGTTTGAATACTTTCTATTAACAGAAACCAGTAAATTTTAATTGATTTTTAGTGTTTCTCAATAAATTGGCTTTTGTTTGTTTTGAAACTTGTCATGGTCATGTATGAACATTTGGAGACAATAATCGGTTTGGTAAAATATTATTCTAATTTTGAATAAGAACAAGTCAAAGTTTTTTAAATGCTACTTAATTATGTTCAGTAGAAAAGTTCAAAATTTGAATCTAACCAATAGCATCATCCAAAGTTAAGCTCAAAGATCAGATTTCGGGTCAAGAACATTCTGATACTCATAGCATCTTTCTTTTTCACCTGAAACATCTCAGGGCTGAGAAGATTTGAGATGGCATAGTTTATCATGATGGGTCAAGAAGGGTTCAAATAAACAAAAGCAACTTCTACTGCCAGCTGATTGGTCAGCTCTTAATGGGTATGTTAACTGGCTCTATAATTAAAACACCCTGGGTTTCTACTTAAAGGGGAAAACCGGGTATAAAAGGAAGAGGGAACAGCCAATTACAGTCAATTATGTCTGTTGAAAATGTTTGAATCACTGAAACCAGTAAATTTATTTTGATTTTGCCAATATCATGAATTCTAGGAAGTATCAAAGACCCAAATTTGCTACAGTCATGTATGAAACCATGATGAATACAAATATGAAATCATATTCAAGTATTATACAGTATACAAGCAAGCAAACTTGAAAATAAATATTTAAAGGTCTCATTAAATATGAGCAGTTGGATGTGGATTTAATTTCAAATTGACCAATAGCCTGCAATGCTCTCAGGTCAGAGGTTAAAACATGTAAACATAGCAGCAATATGCCTTGTGCTTGTGTTTATAAATGACCCCACTACTGCTAAGCCACATCCTCTGCTGACAGCTGATTGGCTGTTTGCTATCTGGTAGGCATTTCACATGTTACATAAGACACCCGGGTGTAGCAATTAACTGAAGTTTTCCTCTTTAACAGAAATTTAGGCCTTTAAACATGATAATAGCAAATAACATGAGATCGCGTTCAGCATGGTAATAGCAAATATTAGTTTATGAAAACACAGAATGAAATCCTGTTTTTTTTTCATAAAATATCCCGATTTTGAGTTCAAAACTCCCGATTTGTTAACGAGACATCCCAATTTTTCAGTAAAAACTCCCGATTTTTAAATGGTACCCTCCCGATTTTCGTTCAAACAAATAAAAGTATACAACACTGAGTTTTTTTGATAATACAAAATACAGTAGGTAATTACACATACAAAATACACTTGTAAAGCTCTTTCATCTTCTTTTACTACAGTATTCCAGACCAGAAATAAATCGAACGTTCTGGGACTGATAATACAAAATACAGTAGGTAATTACACATACAAAATACACTTGTAAAGCTCTCTCATCTTCTTTTACTACAGTATTCCAGACCAGAAATAAATCGAACGTTCTGGGACTGAAAAATTCCGACCAATTGAAACGCATATAGGAGTCATTACAATGAAAGTTGGAACGTGGTGAAAACAAATATGCAAAAGCATTTTGTGATAAAACGAAACAGCTTACAACACATACCGTTTGCGTATTTAATCTTCTTTAAACTATTTGAAACCAGAATTTAATTTAATCGATCATTCTTGGACTGAGATATTCCATACAACGTACTGAACGTATAGATATGTTTTTATAGTCAGTATTCGTTGGCTTCATGTATAACACAAACATGCTTTATCACAAAGATAATTGATTATGTAAGGACTAGATATCGATGTAGATTACATAATCATTTCTGATATTTAACTATTGCAAGTAATGTACGTGTGCTGTGAGATCCAAATGAATTATACGGAAACCATGATTAAACTTGTTTAAATTGCAGGATCATAACGTCAAGTTTTGAGGGTGCATTCACAATTAATTAATTATGATGTGGTACTTGGTTTAATGCAGATGATATCTCATGGATATATTAATAAACAATGATAGTAAACGGCCCAAATGCAATTCGAAAACGTATTTATCAATTTACCAGTATGTTAACCTCGATTTCCTCCCGATTTTTATTGTAAACTCCCGATTTTCATTGTTAACTCCCGATTACCCCCGATTATCCTAATCAATCCCGATTTTCTCCTGATTATTTTTGTAAACCCCGATTTTCATTGTAAACTCCCGATTTCTCCCGATTATCCTAAACAATCCCGTTTTTCTCCCGATTTTTCTTAAAAAGAATCCCGATGTTAACCCCGATTTTTCTTTTAAAACGAAAATATCCCGATTTATATTTTTTTACTTGACAAGTATGATGTAGCCTATCACATCATATGATTAACTGACACATCTCATTTCTTCTCAGCCCTGAGATGAGATCATGCTTCAGGTGAAACAGATGCAATGAGTATCAGAATGAGACTTAGAAACTTTATTAACAAACATGTATTTTATTTACATTGCATGTATACTTTTAAGATAAAATACAAGTATAGATACATGCAGTTACATCTGTATTAACCTTATTTCTGTTTCATATATAGTTTCGATATTACCGGTTGTATGGATCGCCATTTTAAGATAGCTTTTTTAATAACCAGTGTTTTAGGTAATTCTTCTTTTTTAACATTTTCATTTTATTTTGATCATTTGTAATATTTACTCCATTCAAACTTGATTTAATACAGTCCCAATTGACAAAGAAGTGGTTGATGTCACATTTTACATGTAAATAACAAACGTTACAGATGGCACAGTTTTCTAATTTACATTTCTTTAGATAGATATCATGTGCGTAAATACCATGTAAAATTGTCCATTGAATTGAATTTTAAATCACATTTTCTTTCTAAAACAATTTTTGATCTCACCATTCTTGTGTTTAATAGATGACTCTCTATACCCTTAAAGATATTTTTGTACATGGTGGTTCCTTTTTATATTTGAATCAGAGTTCTTGTTTTAAACATGCTTTAAAGCATTATATTGAAGAATCGTTTGACCAGTCCTGCGCATTTTCTGGACAATATTATCATTTGTACTGTTTCCTTATCCTTTGCAACATCTTAAATATATGCAATGCTCTTTTCGATCCAGTTTTCAAAACATAATGGAGAATTATTTAGAGTTACATTTTCATTATTGTTTCAAACAAAGCTCTCATTTTTAAAATCATGGTGTTTCAACCATAAATGTAATACATTTTCATAAAAATCATTCAAGTTATGCAATCCCTTAATTCTTTCAAAATCTATGTTTGAATTTAAAATACATTACCCATTGCATACATGTACATACTTAGGTAAGCCGCTCCGTAACTTTTAACCCATTGAGTCGTAAATAACTGGACTAGACGAGTTTGGTTAAGTTCACCTAAACATTGTTTAAAATGTTGTTGGACTTGCATCATATGTTTTCCCGTGGTGTCCGATGGCATAGCACATACATTGTGCCATTAAAGAGTGCTTTCACCTTGGAATTGCTCTGATTTTATAGTTTGGGCAAATACACGGAAGCTTCTTTAGATGATCCTCACTTTTCGGATCAAGAACATTAAGCTTTCCTTCAGTTGGTTGAAGTAGAGTGAATCGTTGTAACAGGCTCGCAGTGAATAAAAACAGCCTCGTCCTGGCAAATACCTCCCCAACGCAGTTGCGCGTCCCTGCTCCAAATGGTGTTAACCTTCAAAATGAAAGAAATAAAAAGTTAATCCTGATGATTTCGTTTTTATTCATATTTGTATTTGTTGCCAGGGGGTCAAGAATCTTGTGAAGATTCCTGTATATCATCAGTGCATTTTAGAAAATAGACATGAAAAGGAATGACGAATGACATTAGCCAGAAATATTATAAAATTGAAATGATTTTTTGTTAAGCTGCTCGCTATATCTGATTCTCTCTTTAAACGAATACCGTAACTCTTCAAAACAAGGTATTCAAAACTAGACTTTTTAACATATTTACTTTATAATAACATATGGGTGGTATCAGGTGAGGGCTTTTGACTTAAAACTAGAAATAGAAAAATAACCAAGTTTGATAGACCAATGTGAAAATAAAGCCTGTTTACATTTTCCTTGAATTGGCAGGTGACAGTGAGCCATCATTCTCTAAGAAACGGTCAGGGTTGAAGCTCATCGGGTCTTTGAAGTACTCAGGATTGTGGTGGTTGGCAGATATCAATGGCCAAACCTAGGAATTCAGTACAGTTCGATAAATAAATAGCATAAAATGGAAAGTAAGCATACATGGTATCACATAAAATACTTTTTGACATATTCCAATCATAAATAAAGGGATTGATACATCGGGATTGATGATTAATGTTATTATAAATGAAGAAGATATTACCTGTGTCTTGTTCGGTAGGGTAAATCCTCCCAGGCTTGTCTCTCTTTTTGTTTCATGGGGAAGGGCGAACGGAGCATGAGATATATACCTCAACGTTTCGTGTATCGTTGCCTCTAATAGAGGAAGCTTATGTTTGTCTGCTGTAGTTGGGGTTCGCTCGGAACCAATAACATCATCAATTTGAGCTTGGATTCTCTTCTGTAGCTCAGGGTGTGTCACCATCATGTGAAAAAATGCATAGATTGTTTTGTGTGTAGTAATGATGCCTGTAGAAAAGCGCAGCAATCCAAAAACATAAACTCTCACTTTTGAAACATAGTTTACAGAGTGGCAAGAAAAATAGTAACTCGTAAAGTACATGTAGCAAATCCCATCGAACAAAATATATATTATATGGAATGAGTATTTCATGATAAAAATGACTAGGGCATAGTTGACTTCAGACCAATTGCAAAAGAATATGTTAGTAGTCATTGAGGAAAATTGTATTGAAAGAATTGATTTACATACCTGCACCGTACAGCTCAAACATGAGGTACTTCACATTGTTGTATGAGATCTTGACTCCCTCTTCATCAGTCTCAGATTCAAGATATGCCTTGTATATGACATCATAGAGTCCTCTCATGTTCTCTTTATCATAGGTCCCCTGGAAGAGTTGGTACATATGAGGCCAAATTTATCTTTATTTCAATATCTATTTGACCTTCTCAATGAAGTCAGTTCAACTTTGAAATTATGTCAATAGAATGCAATGAACTTTAAGTCTCCCAACAGATGTATGTTGATGCCTGCTTAATTTCGTACATTGGTACATCTAATGCTGTTGCTAAACTTACCTTTCTTCATAAAACATTGTTTATAAATTTGAAGTTTGTTTGAACACAATCCATCTGTCTACCTACATGGAGTTCATGTCATATTTGCATGATTTAGAGATGTGATATTTCATTTAATACTTTTCACGATGTGCAGAAATTCTGTTAAACCAACTTGAAGTAAAGATATATTTTACCTCGTAACTTCTCCAGTGTTCAATGAAAAAATCCATGACGTCAGTATAATACCTTAGCTTTCCCACGCGAATTAAAGTAAAAAAGAATTCCATTGCAGGCATTAAAAATGTCGGATCTTGACTAATTTCTCCATCTAATCTATCCCATTCAATTGCTTTGTTCAGCATTGGGTGTCCATCAGGCACTGCCTCTCCTGTTACCTGTTAAGACAATGTTATATAGAAGTTATACCCACAACAATATATGTTATCTTTGTTTAGCATGGGGTGTCCATCAGGCACTGCCTCTCCTGTTACCTGTTAAGACAATGTTACATAGAAGTTATACCAACAACAATATATGTTATCTTTGTTTAGCATGGGGTGTCCATCAGGCACTGCCTCTCCTGTTACCTGTTAAGACGATGTTACATAGAAGTTATACCCACAACAATATATGTTATCTTTGTTCAGCATGGGGTGTCCATCAGGCACTGCCTCTCATGTTACCTGTTAAGACAATGTTACATAGAAGTTGAATACAAGAACATATGTTATCATAAAATGAACTAGCTAGTTGACAAATGAAATAATATACAGTTGTAAAATGGCTTTTAGGGATTGTTTCAAAATGCAAAAATACGTTGTGATAGGTAATGTATGAATAACCCTACAACTCACCATGGTATTCATGACTTGGCTGATAGCATGGTGAATGTATGTAAATGGGTCAAAATCTGCTCCATTTAGCGTCTCAATCTTGTCTAAACATTTTGCAATTTCTGTCACGGTGATAACTTCAATTTTGTCCATCCCTTCTCCATATTGACGGAGTCCTTTATGCACAAGTTTACGAATGAAACGTAACTTTGGATCATAATCCCTTAGTACCAGGTGAACTTCATTCCCTTCAAGTTTTTCCCATGCAGGTATTTTAGGTCGACCAGCAAAATCACTCCCTGAAAAAGTCAGTTTTAAGCAGTTACTTTCATTTGAAGGTCTTTAATATATTTAGTACATGTAGTTTTTTAGGAGCGTTGACTTTGACCAAGTCTTGAGACGTCATCCGTTTTTAACAAGCATTAGTCTGGTCATGCAATCTGTGTCAAGTGGTGACAAGTCTCATTTCAGGGACCTCAGAGACATAATCTAAGCTTTTCCAAACCACTGTCTGTACTTATATCGACAGATAACTTACAATAAGCTGACAACTTATTCGTCGACTTTTCAAGTGATGAAAAATCGTAAATGAATGATGAATTTTTTTTTTCAACGTTGCATGGGGCATTAACAGAGAAACGAGATACCTTTTGTAACCAACATTTCTCCAATAAGTATTCCACCCACGACTACAATCTCTTCTCCAAAAAGATTAATCTTAAAGATGTCGCCATATTTCTCCATCCATTCATGTAGTTTGGTCACCAATTTGAAAGTGCTCGTTATTTCCAGGCCATTTCCTGCTATGGGTATTCCATTAGGACCTGGGATGTGTGTCAATCTACTGCGTGTTTTATTCCATATAAACCCAAAGAGAAGTACTACTATTACTGCAACTAGTATCGCTAGCATGGTATAATGCTACTGTCTGCTCGGTTGTTATATGTTCTATACGTCTTTCACGGGCAAGAAGAGGTCATTGACAGCAGGAAAATCAACATCTGAAAAAGCATTTCATCCCCATACCGATTAATTCAAATAATGTAAATAATGATCGAGGAATAGGAAATTCTGCAAAAACTTGTGAAAAACTGAATGTATTGTATACTAATGTAGACAGCATTCCGAATAAGAACTTGAACTTTTAATTACCATTGCTAAAAAACCGATTTAATTGCCCAAGTAGAGATCAATGTAAAACGCAGAGAGACCATGATCTTAGCGAGAACCAAATAAACTTAGAGGGTTATGAAAATTACACAAACAACCTACAGGGGACACGGGGGATAGTGATCTATATAAAACAATCTATAAATATGAGTTGCATAAATTTCGAAGTAAATGACAATATAAGAGAAGCAGTCTGGATTAAGACTAAATTCAAGAATGAAATAGGACTCATTGGATGCATCTGTAGAAGCCCAAACAGTACAAGATGAATCAGATCAACCAATTCAGCACTTGATCATGAGAGACATAATAAGAGAGAATACACCCACCCATCTCCAAATAATTGGTGATTTGAACCTTCCGCATATACACTGGGATAGTAAAAGTTCCCTACCAGGGCATGCAGACAGACAAATAAGCAACAAACTACTGGATTTTATAGATGACGAATTCCTCTATCAACATGTGAACACACCAACAAGAGGAAACAATATACTCGATCTTATAATCTCAAGTGAAGAAGACATGATAAGTGACCTTTCTACTTTAGCTGGCATGGGGAAGAGTGATCATAATGTTCTTGTTTTCAATTTTAATCTTACAATACCCAAGGAGAAGTGCATCCAACTCCAATTAAGTAGGCCTAGTACCTAGCCTAGAGGGGGTCACTCATGCAGTCCTAAGGTGCATATCTATATTGCCCTCTAAGGTAGAACGTTAACTGTCCCTGCCTGCAACTTACCAGCTCAGTTGCCCGCCCGTGTACTCTACTAGATTCCTATATTTGATTTGATTAAGTATTGATTTTTTCTATATAGTCTAGTCTCTGAATAGAATCAGTATGCATATTAGGCCAGTAGTCACTGATACAGTCTTGCCCTCCCTACCTGCAACTTACCTCTCACGACTTCATACGATCTTGCTTGATTCTGATATATGTCAGTATTACGCTTTTAAAATCAGTACGTGAATAGTTCCACGTTTTTATACAGCTCCCTGTGAATCAACTAGTGAGTTGACCTTAACATTGAAGCTAAACATTCATATCGAACATTTGAACTGTATATCTGTGTTCCCTTGCGTTAAGTGCTCAATTTAGTCTAAAGACAAATGTGTACACAAGCATATATAGATAAACAAAAGTATATGTTGACCTTACTGTTATCTTTTTTATTACTAGGGCTCTGAATAAACAATTTACGTATGCAATTGCATCAATCCCACTCTCTCTCAAAATGTATTTGTGTTCCACAGATATTTGGATTCCACCCTTTACTTTTGCAATTACAAATATACAGTACAACATAATATTTTTATATTCAGGAACTGACAAAAAATAAAGTAATTTAACTGTGTATGATTCTAATGAAAAAACAGGCGTAATTTTTTGCACATTTGGCGTCTTCGCAGGCGTAAACAAACGCCTGTATTCATTGGGTCTGAAATAACGTCAGTAAAAGTCATTAAAAGAGTGAATGAATGAGTCTTTAAAGGAAGGAGTCTTTAAATGTTTCAAAATATAATTATAGAAAAACGTACGAAGTAAAGTGCGTCTGCGCCGTTTTCAATAACTTCATATTTGATCAAAACTGGGTCCCAACAAAAGTCCTCCTTATTATTTTATTATTCAGGTAGAGTGGAGATATATTGTACATTTCAAAGACAGGACGACAGCAGTGACCTCGCTCCACTAGTTAGATGTATACCCAGCGCCTGCAATCACGGCCGCTCTCATATCATCATTTGCCGTAGCCAGTTGATACTGGTAAGGCATATCACCCACACGTTCCGCTTGGTTTGTTCTACCTCTAATACCAGTATTGTAGAAATTGGCCTCCGCTCTTAGGTATCCACTGCTCGTGTCACTCCCACGTGGTCGGGTATCATGCGCCATTTCAGCGCGGGTGATATCGACAATGTCAAAGTAATTGTTTTCGAGAAGCACGAGGGCGGTTTGGCTTGAAAGCACGGCGTATAGTCCCCAATCTTGAAATACGTTATTGTAGATGTGGACGGTAGCGTATCGGACCCTTGGCATCCTTTGACGACAATCGACGAAGTAGTTATTGTGGATTGTAATGCGCATGCGTTCATCGAGAATATCTGACGTACTAGATCCTATCAACATCGTTTTATCATGTTCGGCGAATCTGCAATTTGACACGGTCACGTGACTGTACGCTTGAGTGATGTCAATCAATCCGTCGCCATAGTTGCGAAATGAACATCGATGGATCCAAGCATTTTCGTATCCCCGTTGCAACTTCAAGGCATCATCAGCGCCTGTGTCAAAGTTGATTCTATAAACAATAGAACTGCTATTCAGCTCAATTGACTCGCCGGTTAGGGTGATATCATGGCCAGAACCGTCGAGAATCAAACCCTGAGTGGGACGTATAGAGACGGGGATGGTGATCGTTCCAGAGCCCGTGAATGTAACATGGACGAAGTCAGCTAGGTTTAGGCAGAAGAGAAGTCCTTGGTAGTTGGGCTCTGACTCGCATCTCTCGTGACGATACTCCGTAGCTGTACAACCGAATCCGACACACTCGCTGAACCAGTCAGGGGCTTGTCCAATGACGTTCTAAAATGAAATGAGAAACGCGAGGTTCTAAATTGTATATTTCACTTTAAATCTTGAAGTTTGTATGTTTTACTTTTCATATACGTTATATCGATATATGCATGAGAATGACCAATTCTCAAGATGGCGATACGGAACAAAAATTACTTTCTTATCTTTAGGGGTTGTCATAGAAAACCCTTGTCCGGCTTGAGGGAGCATGCTTTTTTTTCATAAAAACACTAAGAAAATATATTATACATTTGTTGAAATCGGCCTGTAATAATTTCAACAGGTGGTCAGTGTACAAGGGCATATATTTGAGTTATTAGTTTAATGATAAGTATGACCCATGAGTGGATAATGTTTTACAAATGCATGAAACAAATACTCCAATGGCCTAATCTCAATTTTCTTGCATAAACTATAACATTGAAATGATGGTCATTTGCTCTTTAACTTCCGGTCCACATACGCAACTTCGTAACAATTCAATAAGGCATATCAAGACCGCTATAATCGCTACATGCCAGTGGACTTAGCAAATGTATTTACGAAAGATTGTCCTACATTTGACAGATGATCTCTTTGCTTTGTATCATTTCAAATGCTGTACATTATTTTCAAAATATCAATATACCAAACAATAGAAAGCAAGTGCCTGCGTTGTCCTTAGAGCGTCACAAGGAATCTCATTTTAAACTAAACTACATGTAGAAGCTCTTTTACGTACCCCAAAGTAGCACAAAACGAGGATTCCAAATAACATTGTGTTTACGACTTGCAGGTCTAAATATCAGTCAGTTTTAAAAAGTAGTTTGATATAAAAAATAACAAATCCCTATTTTCTCACAGTTTTGATAGCTTATCAAACAATTTATTAAACAGTTTACGCCAATGAAACACGGTTGAATTTAACACAAGTGACACTCCCACACGTTTTGCTCAACCTCTCAAACACCATTTGATCAGCATACTCCAGATTGAATTATACTAGTTTTGATCGAAGGTAATTTAAAGGTAATTTAGGGCAGAATGCAATTTCTTTACCACTGGTATTAAAGAAAAACAAACCAGTGTAAATGCTTGGCCGATGTTCCATACAAGTATAAAGTGATAAAGGTTTATGTAAAGGTTAATTACTATCACTTTTCTTTTATGTTTTCCAAAACAACAACTTTTATCACATAATGTAATCTTATCCTCGTATATTATATTTTATTATGTAAACTATATTTATACTAAAATGTATTCTTTCATATAAATGGGGCAATAAATATACAATACAATAAGAAAATGAGTGCGGCTGTTAAAGCAGGTGCTGGGTATAAATTGAAATGAGAGCGGGTGTCAAAGTTTCAGCTTAATAACACAAATACCCTCAAATAAACACTCAAATATCACAAATCACATCATATGAGAGTCGGTATATTATATCGTTTAGCTTGTACTAATTTTCACAACGTAAACGCGAAAGGAAACTACATGAATCAATATTATAAGTTATTCAATGATTCGAGTGAAATCCAGAAAATATTCTTCCCGAGAAGGTTGTATTTCACGATGCGCTAGCAGAGTGAAATACAGACGTTCAAGGGAAGAATATTTTCTGTATTTCACGAGAAATCATTGAATAACGTTTTTATTCCATGATTACCCATATAAAACTTGCCTAAATCAAGTCCCTTGGCTTGGGGCCGGAGAAATGTATTTACGGGGGATTTATTTATATCAGATTTAAATACTGTACACGATTTCCAATATATTAATGCCAAACAAAAGATCAGCAAGTGGCTGCTTTTGTCCTAGCGTTGCGAAGACTCTTATTTTTAACTAAACTAGAAGCTCTTTTACGAACCCCAAAGTATCACAAAACGAGGATTCCAAATAACATTGTGTTTACAACTTGCAGGTCTGAATAACAGTCAGTTTTTAAAAAAATAGTTTGATATGAAAAACTACAAACCCCTATTTTCACACAGTTTTGATAGCTTATCAAACATTTTATTAAACAGCAAACACCAATGAAACACGGTTGAATCAATTAAATAGTGACACTCACAGTAATAGCTCAACCAATTTATTTTGATCATCAAACTCGACATCGAATTAGTTTTGATTGCAGGAAATTGAAAATATATTTGTTCAAGTACACTTATCCGCAGCAGTTATTGGTAACTTAGAATTAATCGACTTTTTTAATATATGCATACCTGCCAACCTAAGACCAAAATTTTGCGGTAGATTTTTTTAAAATTGCTGTATTTTTGCGGTAGATTTTTTCAAAATACGGTAGTTTTTACGGTATTTTTCAACAAAATTACGGTAGTTTTTGCGGTAAATTTTAGAAAAAAACGGTAGTTTTTGCGGTAGATTTTTTAAAAAACGGTAGTTTTTGCGGTAGATTTAAAAAATACGGTAGTTTTTGCGGTAGATTTGAAAAAAAATACTGTAGTTTCAGAGGTTTAGGGTAGATTTTTGAAAAAAGTGTAATTTTGCGGTAGAAATTTTAAAAAAGCGGTAGTTTTGCGGAAGATTTAGAAAAAATGCGGTAGTTTTACGGTAGATTTTTAAAAATGCGGTAGTTTTTACGGTAGTTTTTTGAAAAACCGGTAGATTTGCGAAAGATTCTGAAAAAATGCGGTAGTTTTACGGTAGATTTTGAAAAAATGGTGTAGTTTTTACGGTAGTTTTTTGAAAAAACCGGTAGTTTTGCGGAAAATTTTGAAAAAATGCGGTAGTTTTACGGTAGTTTTTGAAAATTGCGGTAGTTTTTACGGTAATTTTTTGAAAAACCGGTACTTTTGCGGAAGATTTTGAAAAAATGCGGTAGTTTTACGGTAGATTTTTAAAATTGCAGTGGTTTTTACGGTAATTTTTTGGAAAACTAGTACTTTTGCGGAAGATTTGCCAAAATGCGGTATTTTTCGGTACATTTTGAAAAATGCGGTAGTTAAACCTTTATACAATGCGGTTTTCTATATTAATACAATGTTTACGTGGTCATATTGTTGTTGTTATTGTGAATACATATTTACTGCAAGAGTGCTTTTGATAATTACAGTTTGTAAAGCAGAACTACCACCTGAGAATTATACGAAACTATTATTTTCAAGAAAAAATAGATATACTATTTTCAAGAATAAATAGAGACTAAACACTTTTTATTCTTCATTTACCATGCCTACAATGGACTGACAGCAACTTTGGATTTTAATGTTTCAGCAAAATGTACATATACAACTCTTTTACAATAAATCTAGATTGATTCAAAATACGAACGCAATATTCATATCTCCACTTTTATTCACCTTCTAACCAGTTTTTTAGATATCAGGATGTTTGGAAATACCATGAATGAAACATTTACTGAAATACAAAATATGGATTTTACACGTTTTTACTCACCATCTTAGATGATCTATCACTTTAAAGGGTGACGCATATCGTTTAGCAAATCGAACGCTCGTTTCTGGTGTTGCTCACCGTTTAGTATAAAAGGCCCGATCCCGGAATAATACTCAAGGGTTCACAGGTTCGAGTCGTTGTGTCAACACCTCTAACTGTTATATAGCATAAGTATATTATAGATCGTCACACATTTATAAAAGGGTGATTTTTATTTTGACAAATCAATTCCACATTTATGGGTGAAGTTTCAGGATCTTCTATTTGTGTATAATAAGGAAAAATTGGCATCTAAATTTCCCCATAACGTAATAGCACACAGCTTGGCATATGAAATATCCTACAAATGAAACAAAGCAAGACAAACCGGTTTCTAATACAAGAATTTATATTGGCTGTTGTACATGTATTATGTGAACGCAATCACTCTTTGGATAACGTTTTCAAAATCATTATAAACGGATTACTTTATCTCAAAGACAATTTCAATAAACTGGATTTTACAGAACTCCCCTTATTTCTTAAAAATGGACTGATCCAGTTGATTCGCCTGGAGCCGCCATATTGTTTTTATACGGGATGCTAATCGGAACCCTTTAACGAATTGAAATGACAGACATAATGTTCATATAACATTGGAATCATATGGTATTAAATATTGATTTGTTCACTCGCAAGTCTCTAATGATATCATGTGTTTGTCTGGCACAAATAGAAAATAAGTAAAGATCAATTGTCTTCCAAAAATAATCTGTTATGAGCATTTGCTGAAACCTTTCCCCTGAGACATCGTTCAGATTCGGATATCACAATACTTTTATAATAAACCAGAACTCAAGGCTTCATTTTTTTATTATGTATTTGTTACTAATAATGTGTTCTGATGAAAAATACAACATTTTATCGTTCTGTAAACAAATTGATTAAACTATGTATAATGTATATGTGGCGTTCATTACTACTGATCATAACAAATCAAACTACGCATATTTCATACGCTAAATATGCATACGCATTTCCACTCATTTATTTAGATGAAGCGCAACTAAAATCATATTTTTGTTGCATTCGGAATAAAGATCTGTTTACAAAGGGGTTTGGTTAACTACAAAAATCATGGCAGAAAGAATTCTTTCTAGCTAGTGGTAGTTGGTGTTTGGACTGATTACACGCAAGCTTACTTAGATAAATGCGCAATAACCTGATAACCACAGACCTGCCGATACCAATTTATATTCGGGTTGGTGAAGGAATATTACAGGGACAGTACAGGAAGACTTCAATTTTTCAGCATTTCCCAATAACAATAACGGGAAATTTTACGGTAGTTTGAACAAAAATACTGTTGATTTTAGCAGAAATACGGTAGATTTTCGAAAATTTAGGGTAGATTTTCCGGCCGTTCTCATGGAATAAACGAGTTTTTTAAAAAGAAAATTTACGGTATATTACGAAAAAATACGGTAGATTTTTTTACGGGCGTTTTTACGGGAAAAAAAATGGTATTTTATTACGGTAGTTTGTCATTTTTTTACGGAAAAACGAAAAATTTACGGTAGATTCCCGTAAAAATACGGTAGGTTGGCAGGTATGATATGGCAGGCCCGCTGCCAGGGGGGAGGGGGGGGGGGGGGCTCTGGGGACTCTGGAGCTACCCTGCTCTTCCTCACATTCACTTGGCAATTAAGATTAAAAAATTTTTTTTCGCATATATTTGTGCCCCCTTCCCTCTGTTTTTTAAGATCGACCTTTGTGTTTTGTTAAACATAGACTTCTACCCCCCCCCTAGGATGGGCCCTGAAAAGATGTTGGGCCAAAAATATTGTAGGGCCTCTTTGGGCCTTATTTTTTTCAATTTTAGGCCAAATTTTCAAAAAACGGGCTATAAATTTTCAAAATTTTGGCCCGAATTTTGGTTTTTGGGCCCTAAAAGATTTTCCGCGCGGCCATAGGATGGGCACAGAAAAAAACGTTGGCCCAAAAATATTGTAGGCCCTCTTTAGTGGGCCTCTTTGGGCATTAATTGACCTTTTGGGGCTTTAATTTTTTTCAATTTAAGGCCAAATTTTCAAAATGTATGACATTTTATAGGTCAAAATGTCCAAATCACTAAAACTGCGTTTTGGGGGTTTAAAATAGATTTACGCGATTAAATATGATCAAAAAAAGAAGTAAAAAACATAGGTCAAGTTCAAAATTTATCTCGATCCAAATTGCTAATAGAGAAGTCAGGAAAGTCAGGAGATTTTTGAATTGAGCTAGTGGTGAAATAACATGTGCTAGTGATTAGATCAGATACTTGATAAGCTATCACCTCAGTGGGATGGTAAAGATGCGTGTTCAAGATGATATGATTTCACTTTAACATAAAATTGGATGTTTAAGGACACACAATGTTATTATTGGGAATACTTGTTTTAAGCTATTTTGGGGTAAGTGCCACAGGATTAATTTTAGGACTTGGTTTCAGAGATCCTCGGTATTTACATGTGCTATATGAAGTAAGGACTTCACTCGTTCGTCCAGCCTGTCATCCCATCGAACGAAGGGATATAGGAAACGCCTCTGTCCCTCCGTCTGGGCGATAACTCAAATACCGTTGGTCCAATTTTGTTAATATTTTGTACACATTATACAGTACAGTTATGCCCGAAAGCCGATTTTCAAAATGGCCGCACGTTTACAAAATACGACGTCATCATTTTAGTTCCGATTTTACAGTTTTACCGTAATATATGTACAATGTATAGAACTGTAATAGCAATTACTCTTTGAATGTAAAAAAATTATAGAGGACATAAATAGAAAGCCATTTTTAAGAAACACATGGCAGCCATCTTGAAAAATGGCGGTCGTTACACGCTATTTTACGAATTTTTGCTATACCTTGAAAAGCAGCACTGGAACGACTATGTTCGTATTTGATATGTGAATACTCATTAGCATGTCACACTGTTTTATGACAATTTGTCTAAAAGGCGGCCATTTTGAAAATGAAAGTCATTTTATGTGTGTTATTATACGTTTTTACCATAACTCAAAAAGTATAAGCGATTCTGTTCATGTGAGTACTCATGAGCATGGCACATTGTCTTATAAGAATCTGGCTAGTAGGTGGCCATTTTGAAAAATGGCTGCAATTTACATGTAGTGAGCGACCATTTTGAAAATGTTGGCCATTGTTGGCGATTTTTCCTATAACTGAAAATGCTGTTGAAGGATTTTTGTTCGAAGGGATTTGCTACGATTTGGCGTTGCTGTTACAACATGTTGTGCTAGTATATCCAAGAAATAACAGTTTTGATAAGTACTTGAGAGTTGGTTCTTTTTTTATATGATTCCTCAGTTAAGTATAAGAGATTGAATATCGGTTTATTCAATTCCACGTGACAATATATTTCCCTCATGCCATTTGGGAAATGTCACATCGTCCCTTTGAATAAAACCCGTATACAATCCCTCCCGTTAAATAAGCTTTCTATCCCATGATTTTTATGACCGTTTTCATGCAATCATAAAATCAATATCTCATTTTTGTATAATACAAAAACAGACTTAAAGATTCTACAAAAATGACAATTTTATACCATATTCTAAAACGTTAACTTTTATTGTTTAACATCAACATATTCAACTATATATTTGCCTATTCAAACCACGAAGAAAAAATATTATGTTTCAATAGGCCTATATCAGTAGCTTAACTACGTATATTCGTTTGTAATAACCACTTTTTTTTTAAAATTAGGCGGTCATTGGACAAGCCCCGAAGTGGTTCAACGAATGTGTTGGATACGGTTGTGGAGCCACAAAGTACCGTCACAAGCGATGTGAGGCTAAACCCGACTACAAAGACCTTCTCAAATGCGTAAACCAAGCCGACTTTGTGCACGTGACCTTCAAGGGTTCCGGGAAGATTAAACTCCCCGCCTCTATAAAGCCCAGACGGGGATTGATTCTTGACGGATCAGGACGGGATATTACAATTACGGGGGAGTCAATCCAACTGGTCAGCGATTCGATTGTGTACAGAATCAACTTTGACACCGGGAAGGACGATGGGTTGAAACTGCGTGGAAAGTACAAGAACGCCTGGATTCATCGATGTTCATTCCGTAACTATGACGACGGGTTGGTTGATATCACTAAAGGGTTCAGTCACGTGACTGTGTCGAATTCTAAATTCGCTGACCATGATAAAACTATGCTAATAGGCGCTAGTGAAAAGGACGTTGGTGACGTAAAAATGCGAATTACACTCCATAGCAACTACTTCATCAATTGTCGTCAGAGGCTGCCAAGAGTCAGATATGCTTCGGTCCACGTTTTCAACAATTTCTTCCAAGACTGGGGTCTGTATGCAGTCGGATCGAGTCAGAAAGCGTACGTTCTTCTCGAAAACAACTACTTCAAAATCAGCGACAAAAAGCGCGCGAAAACTGCACATGAGACCGAACCACGTGGTGAAGACAAATATAGTGGGTATCTCAGAGCTGAAGGAAATTACTACACTACGGGGATCAAAGGAAAGACAAACAAGAGTAGCCGCGTATCTTATGTACCATACAAGTATAAAATGATGAAGGCTGATAAGAAGATGAGCGTGGCGATTAAAGCAGGCGCTGGGTATAAATCTAAATGAGAGCGGATGTCATAATTTCAGCTTAATAACACGAAGGCGTCTCAAATAAACATTCATTTCAAATGTCAAACCAAACTTTTATTTAATAAAGATTAAGAATTTAACGCAAAACATTTTAAACTCATAGTCTGATAGTTGGTATATGAGCTAGACGTCCTTGATATATATAATGATACATATAATACAACTTATCATTCGAGAAAGTTTAATTGGTACAGTGTAAACCTGTTTTCCTCAAGATTAGGCCAAGATTAGGCCTAAGTCTTGCATATTTTCCTAAACAAAATTATTTAAGCAAAACCACAAGTGGGTCCTCCGTTCCCTGCTATCTTTACATTCATTGAAATACGCATATTCCTTCATAAATACACATTTACTTGTGTGAATTTCACATTTTGCAGCTTTGGGCGGTTTCACTCTTAGATCGAATACATTGTATTGAACTGTAACATGTTTGTTGCATTTAGCTGTGTTGTATCCTTACATTGAATGGGCGCATATTTGGAGTAATTGTGATTTGCTGACATATTGTCCATTGTACTGAACTGTAATCTGATGCATTTAGCTGTGTTGTATCCATACATTTGGAGTAATATTTGTAGCGATCCATTGTTATTGAAGTATCACAATTTTGTTGCATTTAGCTGCGTTGTATCCTTGCACAGAATAGGTGCATTTAGAGCATTATCTGTAATATTGTCCATTTGGAATGCGATGTTATCCTTTCCATCTTTAGATTCTTCTTCTGTTGGTCTAAAAAGGTCATATGGCTTTTATGATACGGAAGTCTAGTATAGTATAGTCTGCATTGGTCACATTTGCTCCGATTTTCAAAATTGAATAAAATATTGAGCAAAACACTCAATTGGCCAAGGGCCGGCCGATGGATCGGAGCAAATGTGACCCAGGCATAACAGCAATAATTGAAAAAAGGCAAAACAATAAAAAGTTTAACACGTGAAAGGGTTTTCTTTCAAACACTGATGTTGATCACAAAAGTGATGACTAACAGAATGTCCCCTGTTTCTGTTGTTAGCATAGTACAAGCTTCTACCTTTTAGAGTAGTTATACATATCTTCCATCGTCTGAGGTAGGGGTCTACCACGCGTCTCTGGCAGTAGAAGCATAAGCAGCGCAGCTCCTAAAAAGATCAAAATAGGATCTTTAGTCTAAATATGCCTCTTACAGGGAATCTACAATTTTCCCGATTCCATATTACAAATATCTGGCAAAATAAATCACTTGGCAAATTAATATGTATTCGCATGTAAGGTTATGAAGAAATCACTTTGTCCACTTTAGCTCAGACTTTAGCAACGAACAGAAAATATACACTCCGCTCCAAAATATGCATCCGGAAGTTCATTTCCAGGCCACGTATGAAATTGTTTGGTGACTTTACTAGTTTCATTGCATGAAAGAACAAAAGAATAATCTGCAGGGTTTTTAGAAGATATATCATATGAACTTCAGTAAGTTCTATCTACATGTACGGAAGAGGTGTAAACTATGAAAACGTATACAAATACAATAGCTGTACCTATAGAAAGTCCCCCGTATATCAAGAATGGGAGGAAGCGTACATATTCTCCAAGGAGTACTATCTGTGGCGCTAATATTCCACCAATCCTTGCACTCATAGAAGCCATGCCACAGCCTACATTCCTAGAATAAAGACCCATAACGTTAGAACAAAAAATATATACAGATACTTACAAAGACTTTGTCTTAAACATTTTTCCACATTTTTCTTGTTTAATTGTGAAAGTGTTTTGTATAAGTCTATCTAATTTAAACACAACATTAATGTTAAAAACAACAAAATAGTTGGAATCTCATATTATATGAAGTAAGTGCGCTAGAAGGCAGATGCAGAAGGTGGAAGACTCTAAATATACCTGACACATGTCGGGAAAACTTCAGTGGCAACGAGGTAGATGACAGCGTATGATCCTGTGATCGCAAACTTGCCAATCATTGCCAACAACGTGGCTAGCCAGCTTAGATCTGAAAATGATTGAAGAGAAGTAGTTATAAATGTCAATATATATTTAAACGGAGTCTTTCAAACGCCTTTGTTTACTCTTCATGTGTTCCAACAAAGATGTTAGAAGATGGTATGGTCAAACTTGAGCTGTGACATTCTTCATTCATTCACAAGTTAATAAGATCTCTGTGATAAACTAATTGCTTAATAAGAAGGTGTGTATGTTACTAACTTGTAGGAATAAATGATGTACAAATACAAGCCAGACCACCGAACAGCATAAATCCACAAAGCACAGGCTTACGACCAAATCTGAAAAACAAGAACAATAGGGTATTATAAACAATATAGTAGACAATGTGGCCCTAGATGCAAGCTCAGCATTATGTTAGACGTCGTCTTCACGTAAGAGGTCAAGGCCGAAAAATGAAAGGGGTGGAGTCGGACTAAAAGACGAGGTCTCAATCGTGTTCAACAGCATGTTTATGATTATACATACCTGTCTATTGTGAGATGAACAACGGCAACACCGGGTATCTCAACAAGACCACTGAAGAAGAAGTTGAGGTAGGGGTCACCAGCGAGATTCCTAGTGTTCAGGCCAAGTCCATAATAGACCAATGCATTGATTAACCTGAATGAAAATAAGAAAGAAAATGTTGGTATGGCCATGGATCATGTGGTATTTTCACTAAAATATAGTACAAGCTCCATTAAAGCACATGGGTGGATCTTTATTTCGTCCTTTTAATTGAGCGGAGTGTCTTTTATAAACGGCTGGATTATGATAGAACTAAAAAAAAATTCCCAGCAGAAAATCGAATTTCCAACTTTTTAAAACTTACCAACCGAGCCAAACAAGCAACGAGAGGCTAATAATCTTCCAGTTCCTGAATAAGTCAATAACGCTGTGGGCTTTACCACTAGGATCAACGGTATCCGCTGTGAGACTGTCCAGTATCTTCTCAGAGACATCAACTCTGTTAACTTTGGCAGTTTTACGTATAATAGCCTTGGCTTCTTTCGTTCTGTCTTGTACTAGTAGCCATCTTGGACTCTCAGGGACAAGCCTAGAATTTGATCAATTCAATTGCAATAAAATAATCTGACTTACAAAATGGCACATTTCAAATGATACAAGTGACCAATAATAGTTTTACGATAACTAAGCTATAGCGTATTCTGTTCTGTTTTGAACTTGTTGGTACGTTGGACCATAACCAAGGCCCAGAAACTGATGGTTCGATATTTGATAAAATGTGCACATGCTTTAATAAGTTTCCAAACCAGAGAGCACAGTAACGTCAATAAACATGTGATATTCATCACATCGCCATCATGTTAAATCACATCATGTTCTTAATTCGCCAAACGCAGGACTCCAAATATCTTTCAAAATAAAAGGCACGTAAAAAAGTTCTAGGGGCCTGCGTTTGGCAAATAGAAGAGGGCACCCACCACCAATACGTCAGATATAGTACCAGTGGGGCAGATATGGCGATTTCTATGTATCTCCAATCACGTATGAGGTATCCAAGTAGAGCTAGGAGCATCTGTCCTATTGCGTAGAAGTACTGGTTACCCACTCCCCAATATGTGCGAAACTTCGGACCAAGAATTTCACTACCTAGTAAGTAAAGACATGGGAAAGATCAATGAACATGTCTTGAATACAAATGTGTAAGAGAAAAAGGGCAAGGTAAAATTGTCACAACAAAAAAGCACAAGAACACGGGGCATTTTATTCATGGTGAAATCATAATGATACATGTTGTATACCACAGAAAACACAATTTAACAGTCATACTTTAATATCAAAAGTTTTGATATATTTGTAAATCGTTAAGTTACTAAGAATAAATGACGAATAGTATCCGGGAATAGTATCCCAACTGTGAATTGAAGACCCTATTGAAATGGCATCATAGATACAATTCTAGTATCCGGGAATAGTATTCCAAATATGAAGGCCCTATTGAAATGGCATCATAGATACAATTCTAGTATCCAGGAATAGTATCTCAACTGTGAAGGCCCTGTTGAAATGGCATCATAGATACAATTCTAGTATCCAGGAATAGTATCTCAACTGTTAAGGCCCTGTTGAAATGGCATCATAGATACTACAATTCTAGTATCTGGGAATAGTATTCCAAATATGAAGGCCCTATTGAAATGGCATCATAGATACAATTCTAGTATCCAGGAATAGTATCTCAACTGAGAAGGCCCTGTTGAAATGGCATCATAGATACAACAATTCTAGTATCCGGGAATAGTATTCCAACTATGAAGGCCCTGTTGAAATGGCATCATAGATACAACAATTCTAGTATCCGGAATAGTATTCCAACTGTGAAGGCCCTGTTGAAATGGCATCATAGATACAATTCTAGTATCCGAGAATAGTCCATATATGAAGGCCCAATTACCCAAATGCGAGTAGGTAGTTACCAGTTTCACCACCAGGTGGCTGATTCGGGTCAATTAACATGGCAGGTATATAAGAAAGTTACCTTAAACTTGAATTTTATCAATTTAAGTGGCTCAATATTCATATAGCCCTAATGTGTCTAATACTTATACTAATGAAAATATGTCCAGTAAAGCAAAATATTATCTGTCCACTAAAAGAAAAGATATTTCATTTTTTTGTGATTTTATAGCATGGGGTCTATGCGGAATCTCCCCGAGCTAGAAGTCACATTTTCAAAGAAAAGTAATTTTTCATAGTTGATAAACACTTTTTAAAACCACATTTCTAGATGTAATTTTACATGTAGATTTCAAATATGATATTACTTTGACTGAATTTTGAATTTTTAATGACGTAAATCAAGATTATTTCTACTCGCATCTGGGTTATTGAAATGGCATCATAGATACAATTCTAGTATCCAGGAATAGTATTCCAACTATGAACGCCCTGTTGAAATGGCATCATAGATACAATTCTAGTATCAGGAATAGTATTGCAATTGTCAAGGCCCTGTTGAAATGGCATCACAGATACAATTCTATTATCAGGAATTGTATCCCAACTGTCAAGGCCTTGTTGAAATGGCATCATAGATACAATTCTATTGTCAGGAATTGTATCCCGACTGTCAAGGCCCTGTTGAAATGGCATTACAGATACAATTCTAGTATCAGGAATTGTATCCCAACTGTCAAGGTCCTGTTGAAATGGCATCATAGATACAATTCTAGTATCAGGAATAGTATTTCAACTGTGAAGGCCTTGTTGAAATGGCATCACAGATACAATTCTAGTATCCGGGATTAATAGCCCAACTGTGAACACCCTGTTGAAATGGCATCATAGATACAATTCTAGTATCAGGAATTGTATCCCAACTGTCAAGGCCCTGTTGAAATGGCATCATAGATACAATTCTGGCATATTTCATTATGTAATAACACAAGGGAACACTGTGGTCAATGTCATGGTACAACGTGTTCTTGACAAATGGGAAACTAATAATACAATTGCAACAAAACAGAATACTGTACCTAGTACATATGCAGATAGGTATACCCCTACTTGCATGACACCTTGGAAGAAGTAAAGAACATAGAATATGATCAATGATGGAGAGAAGGCGGCTCCCGTCCCTATGGCACACTGTAGGACAACTGCTATGAAGAATGACAACTTCCTGCCAACGCTGAAATACAGAACAGCAAAGAAAATTCGAAATCTGGTTTAAAATGTTCATTATTGTGTTTGTGTTATTCAAATAACTTTTGGACAGTAAAGTTTTGAACTTTTGAGAATATTGAAGTTTCACATTTCATGAGTTTGAAATCAACGTTCTTTTCAAACATCACAGTACGATATACCTTTCCAAAAATATCATTCCTTTATGTTGAACTCAGAGAATCGTAATAGACTCATACAGTGGATACAGCAATGAAAATAAGTAATAAGTTTATAGTAATCTATTTTCTGCACTAAAGAAGTAAAAACAACATCATCACTAAGAGGTTTGTGAGACACGATTTACCGGACTACTTTATTTGGCGCTTTATCATGATCACCATCGACATCGAAGCGATACTCACAAATCTGACAGTTGTCCAAACATGAGTGCTCCAACAAGACGTCCAGCAAAAAATATTGAAGATGCTGAACTTCTCAGTCCTATATCACCGCACACAAGATTCCACTTGAGAACAGAACAGAACATACTACTTTATATTTACATATTTTAAACAAGACATTAACATGCAAAATGTCACCAGCTGTCAATTGTACAGTCACCGAACGCCGAACACCAACCGCCAAATGCTGACCGTCGAACACAGTCCACAAAAGGTTGGTCACTATAACAAACAAGCCAAAGGGTGAACAGAATCGCACAGCTTTTTTTCTACAATTCATCAGATTTTCCTGAAAAAATTCTGGTAAAAGATATACTGATGTATTACAAAATATGTGAAAATTGGAAACATTGACCGTTAAGTTATTTCTAAACAAGCCTCGTCAGACAAGATTTTAGGACGGAAAATCCAAAATGGCCATGAAACCTTAACATTTATCAGACAAGATTTTAGGACGAGAAATCCAAAATGGCCCCCTTAACATTTACCAGGAATGCCGAAAAACTAATCAGTTCTAAACTTTTATAGGTAGAACATCCCTGAGAATTTCAAATGAATCCCTCAAACGGTTTGACTGGAAACCAGTAGACAGGATTATTCGGGACGCCCGCCCGGCCGGCAAACTGATTACAATATATCACCTTAGGGTGCGATAAATATGTAAACACAAGTCCTAATTAGAGTAAAGTCCATAATAAAAACGGATAAAAAAGGCATGAAAAAGAACATCCAAGAATATAAAAGGAAATGAAATAGCCTCGATCCAGCATCACATTCAATGATTTAATGTACAAGGAAACAATTAAGAAACCTTGATCACAATCCCAGACACTAATACAAGATATTTTACTATATATATATTTTTATTCATACTTAAACCATTGCAATACATGCTGAACAAATACTGTATAAATCTACAAAGGAACACCAAAAATTATAGAAACGCCAAATTGAAACAAGGAAATACCGAAGAGGGCTCATAATTGCTAGATATGGAATCGATATTATATAATTTAATTTCCTATTCGGGTTATTTGAAAAACGTTCTTTAAGTTAGACGTTTGAGTCTGATTTTATGTTTACCTCTTTAAAATATTTAAAATAGACCTTTTCAACCGTTAGCAATTCTTTGTTTCTTTTCTCCATTAAACGTGCTATGATCTATTAGAAGGTCTACTCAACTAAATTTTTTTTTTACTCACATCAGAAACTATGGTTCTTTGGTATTTCTCTTTGCTGTAGACCCATCCATTTGTGCAAGCCTGTTCAGATCTATTATAGAGGTCGTCAGTGTTGTTTATGAGATGATACATTTGACATCTTTTATATCTAGTGTTGCCATCTTTAAGTTCAGTTGGTAATGAAAGGTTATACAATTGTGTCTCTGATATGTTTCCATAGTGTGTTCTATATTGGTCTGGGATCTATAATGAGGATATATGAGAGATATATGATATATAGTCACTAGAACAACTGAGAATAAGGATCCACTGAGAATAATGAATCGCTTAAACTAAAGACATGAGTTACTGTTTTAGATAATACACGACGTAATACGACGAACAGGATTATTATTAATTTTTCATATCTTTATTCCTAACTATACATTTTTATATAAAATACGCAAGTAAATTCTACATACATACATAAAGGCAGAATCAATTTTCTGTTCAATTTTAAAATATTTTGGGGTCATATACTAGTAATTACTTTTCGTATGTATTTTTGAAAATGCCTCGCAATTCAAACTTCATTCCAGAAAAACATAATATTTATACCTTCATTTTATTGTTCAATTTGGGGAAGCTACACATTTTTGCACTTTGATTTTGAAATAAATTTTCCAATAATGATTGTAAAAGAGAGATGACAGACATTCTGGAAGATATTGTGATTTTGAGATGGTGAAATCACAATCGTACACGCAACTTGTTATTAAAGGACCCTACCTACCTTACAATGGTGGTCGGGGGTGGCGCCAACAAACACCATGTTCATTGAGTGCCATGCTGACGTCAGGGAAGTAATAGCTAGGAGAATATATTGGATCCGTTGGTAAGTTCCAAACTCCCCAATGTGAGTTAACACCTCGTCATAACGCTGAAAAACATAGATAGATTTAAAAGCTAACTCAATTTGTCATCATAGCGCAAGTGTTTACGAACTGGCGGATGAGGGGGGGGGGGGGTAAGGTGGGGAATCATTTTGGGACCAAAAAATATTTAGTCACATTTTCAAAAATGGATATGGTGGGATTTGGGCATATTCATTATCAATTTGTCAATTTTATAGCAGCCGATCGATCTTTGGAAATATTTTCTTCATCATCTGCATGTTCAAGGGGTGATCAACAAGTATTGGACGGTTTTTTAAAAAGATGCTTTTATTGACCAATCCCTTTGATTTTTTAAGTGATACATCATTCAATAATTATCTACACCATTCAGAATATGTAACGTTATGTCGGCCTCGGGGAACCTATACCTCATTTACGGAAATAAAGATGTATCAAAATCTATTTCATATTTCGCCTTAAAATCTGATTGTATCACTGGTAAAAAATCAGTTTGTAAAAAGCATCCGTGTAGAAATGCGGCCATTACATCAAGATCACCCCTCGTACGTGTATCATCACATTGAAGGGGTACATGTTACACTTGTGACTCAATGTAACGATTTAGTATTCAAAAACACTTGTCACTTGTGACCACTGGTGAAGACGTTAAGATGTGTGTGTGTGTGTGTGTGTGTGTGGGGGGGGGGGGAGGGGTGATACCTATCAGGTGAAATCGAAATCACTGGCAGGAGGCTCAACATTTTTTTTCAGTGGGATCTTCAAACATGTCAAATATATGTTGCCACCTCCAGAATCCTGATCCACCCGTTAAGAAGGCTGGCATATTGCATATTATCCAACAATAACAATACAATAAGTTAAACGACAATAAAATATAAGATACCATATAATAAACATGCAGTCTTTTAAAAGAAGTAACAAATGTTCGATTACTATAGTAATATTACAAACAATCACCAACGGTATCAACCATGCAAAATAAGACAGAATGTACTGTAAAAGTATAAACATAGGCATACATACCATTTTGTGATCCTCTCAATCCAGAATATATTCGATCAATTATCAATGCTATAAAATACATACGTTTTGTATTAGTTCAATATATTCTGATTTAATTCATTAACATCCATTGTTTGGTATCAAGTGATTCCTTCTTGGTGTTCAAATCATCGAACAAAACACTATACAACCACTACAGATTAAATTCTAAACATAATCTTTCAATTGTTACAACCTATAGATAACATGAACTTTGAAATCTCTCTTGAATTATCATTATAAGTCATGACACCTGACTTTGCATTTGAACTTTCAGATATTAAGACGGTGCAACGTATCGGAGTTTCTCATGAATGGGCCCATGGGCGTATATTTGAAAGAGGGGTATATAAATAAACGCATACACTGTAGTGTGCCAATTATTCAAGAAAGGGATTTTTATCCTCTTTTGTTCGTTTGTGTGTCATTTTAAAATTAGACCCATTCCCAATTAGTTTCTTAGAAATATTTTATTCTCTTAGAGCACCGCTTGAATTATTATCAAAATCGTGTTCTGTTGTATGACGCACAATTGATAGTTTATCCTCGATTGTGTACGAGCGTCTCCTCTCGTTGGGAGCAGCCATACCGTGCTGGTAGACAGTGAATAAAAAGTGGTAAACAGAAAATTAGGGTAAATGAAATTAAGTATCAATGAATCAATTAGCCTATTCAACCTGATATTAGTACATTAAAACAAAAGGTCGCAGATCGGTAAACGTTCATGATACTGCGTGGGTATGCAAGAGAAGATATAAACTTTAGGGCCCTACACCCCTCGAAATAAACAACCACTGGCCTTGAAAAGCAATTTCTCCCTCTTAAGAAACGCCCACTCCCCTTGGAAAAACGATCCCTCTCATTTTTAGGCCTATTTCGAGGAGCTGCTTTCAAATAAATGCCCAAGGGAGGGAGGGCACAGCGCTCAGTGGCAAGATGCAAACTGCATTGCAAAACATAATTTTTCACATTTACGAAAAAGTGCACATTAACATGACAAGCCCATGCTCAGCTATTATATATATAAATATGTGAATTCATTTTCGTAGAAAGTAAAAATAAATAGTCGTAGTTATTTAGTCTACTATTCTCTCAAACCCCAGGGTCAAACTTGGAAGACATTTAGATTTTCTGCCAGGTTACGCACATATACATAAAGACTGCGAACGTGGTGGCGTACATAAAAAAAACCTAACGCAACAAGTAATTTGCAATTGGCTGACATGGATAACCTTGGGAATCAACCACTCGTCCGTCTGTCCGTCAACAGTTTCCCAACAAATGAAAACTCTATATAGTCTGTATTAATCCTCCACTTTATGTGAATCGCTGGCCTGGACAGTGACCTGCTCAAATATTAGGCCAAAATTGCCTAATAGTGTTAAAGGAATTGACAATAATTTTAAAATTACCTCCTGTTCAAGTTGCAATCATTTTTATAGATTACATTGATAGATTTAATATCATTGAATATGGTATTGCTTGTTGAGAACCACACAACATTACCATTTATCATTTATTTGAGATTTAAGCAGGGGCCCATTTTTTAAAGAAATAATCATTTTAAAAGATTTCTTGTAAATAGATAATAAATAAGTGCAAAAAGTATGAATTATTATATATCAAGAGCATAATGTAAAATTTCAACTGAAAAGTTAGATCAAAATGGAATCCAAGTTCACAGTGGGGGTATACCTCATCAAACACTGTATAATTTTTTTAAAACTTATTGTTACAGCCTTATGTTTTTAATTTGCTTTTGCTAGTTAGGATTATATCATTGACCATTCGTGAATTTTTGTGCACCATACAAGGTTACAGAACTTCATTTATGAACGATTTCAGCAGGGGTCTATTTTACGAAAATTAAATATTTTTCCGGATAGTTCTTAGATGGAAAGCTAGTACATTGTTACGATTAAATTACATCATTAAGGTGTATAAATCATGAAAACAGGTTTCATCCTGATGTCTACAACCTAATTCGTACGAGGCCATGTCACAAATGGGGGGGGGGGACATTGGCCTCCACTTGGGGATCTTTATTACTCATATGATTTCAATATTACAATAATGTCGGTATCATTATAAACAGGCACTAAATAAGTGTAGAGTATTATAAATACGTTGACAGCAAGAAGATTTATACAACTGAAACTGTAAAACGAGATAATATTTGGGCTCTAAAATCACAATGATTGGTATAACTAATCAAATGTTTACTTTTAAGGTTATTATCATATCCTAGCAATCTAAATTGTTTTAAATAGTTATAATTGAATTATTTGCAGTTTCTGAATTTTTCGAATATCTTAAAATGGTTCAGATTTTCATTTATTGAAGATTTAATTCAAGTCTAATTCAAAAAGATGAATATTTTTGTGGATAGTACCCAGATCAATTACTATTATTACCACCTTGCCGGGAGTGTTATAGGGGTATTAATGCTAGTTTAGAAGGCATTTATGTTACTTTATCGATCTGAGCAATATGTGACGTCATAGTGGCGGGCCATAGTTGCGGGCCAATTATGCATTAACGCCCGGCAATTTTCCCCGGGAAATGACATATCTTTCAATGCATATAATTTTTGCTATTTCAGCTCTGGGCATTAACTGTGGTAATACTAATAGCCTAATTTCTGCGGGCAATATTAAACAAATACTGGATGATCAGGAGCTTGATATGGCAGAATACCTATTCGAGAAAAAAATATTGGGCGAGGCGGCATTTATTAATTTCAATATAGAGCGTTTGGGTTCTAGCATTGCCTCATGGGATAGTCTATTTTCTACTAAATAAAATAATCTATTACTAAAGTTATGTGCTTGCAGAGATAGCCTGTATTGCAAAAATCATATATCCTTTCACCCCACATCATATCATATGCTTTATTGATGTTAAAATCTAATTTTATAAATAGCGGGAATAAATTCTTAATTCATCTTAGATTATAATTTAAATGCAAAAGCCGATTCATAAGTAGATAATTCGTTGTAGACTTCAAAAGTGTCAATATCTAATATTTTTCATTATTATGGACCTCTGTTAAACCCCTCAATGATAAGTAAACGATAATGTTGACAGGTCCTCAACGGAAGAAAACGTATGTAGGAATATATATTTTATCAAATAAACATATCATTTAACAATTGGCGGATCAACGAAAAACAAGATGATGTTAAAATAAAGTGAAACTAAATGGAACCATTATTTTTTATCATTTTGAATGCAAAATATAGTCAGACAGACGATCTTAGTTTCAATTAAACAGCTAAAATCAATATGTCATACTAATAAACTTTCCAAAAGCCGATAAATGAGTAGATAATCTGTTGTAAACCTCAAAAATATCAAAATCTAATATTTTTGTTGACCCCTGTTAAACCCTTCAATAATAAGGAGATGGTAATGTTGACAGGTCCTCAACAGGTGAAAATGTATATAGGAATATATGTTTTATCATTTAAACATCAAAACAATTGGCGGATCAACAAAAAACAAGATGATGTTAAAAGAAAATGAACTGTAAATGGAATCATTGTTTTTAATCATTTTGAATGCACAATATTATCAGACAGACGATTTTATTTTCAATTAAACAGATAAGATCAATACGTCATACTAATTAGAAAATGGCAACTTCACGGAGTAGCAAATCCCAACGAACACCATATAAATCATCAATCTGTACAGTCACAATGTAATATTTACCATCTACTCTTTCCTTCAATAAATATTTTAGATCATTGTAACCATACTTTAAAGATGACTCTAAGTAATGGCGAATTTCTGCTCTAGTCGGATATTTTGAATTTTCAGAGGCATAAATCCGAAAAACACTGCCATAATTGTGATCTACTCTGAAATTCCTTCAATTTGAGTATAATATAGCCATACTTTATACTATAAGAAATATAATAATTGCAAAATCCCGCATTAGACAGCCATTTTGAATTTTTTGAGGCCCGAATCAGAAAAACGCTATAATATTTGCAATCTACTCTAAATTGCCTTTCATTTGAGTATAATAAAACTACACTTCAAAAACATCTCAAAATTAATGCAAATTTGTGTTTTCCCAACCCCCCCCCCCCCATTTACGGCCCCTGGGGGTCAGGGTGAAATATCCAGGATATATGTGAAATAGATAGCTATCGTTAATATACTACCAATATTTCAAATAATAATGTTTCTTATTTTGGTTTAAAATGAAAAACATAAGATTTTTGCGTAAAATTCCTGCCATTTTTAAACTGGCGGCCATCTTGAATTTTTTTTGCGTATTACTATTCACCAATATACATCTTTCCACCAAATATGAAGAAAATCTGTCTACTAGTATTCAGGTTATCTTCCAGACAGATGGACGGATGGACTGACTGACTGACTGACTGACTGACTGACTGACTGACTGACTGACGGACTGACGGACGGAGGGAGGGCTTCACTCTATCCCTACTGAACTTCGTTCGATGGGATAATAAACTTTCCAAAAGCCGATTAATGAGTAGATAATCTGTTGTAAACTTCAAAAATATCAAAATCTAATATTTTTGTTGACCCCTGTTAAACCCCTCAATAATAAGTAAACGGTAATGTTGACAGGTCCTCAACAGGTGAAAATGTATGTAGTAATATATGTTTTATCAATTAAACATATCAAAACAATTGGCGGATCAATAAAAACAAGATGATGTTAAAAGAAAGTGAACTAAATGGAACCATTATTTTTAATCATTTTGAATGCAAAATATAATCAGACAGACGATCTTATTTTCAATTAAACAGATAAAATCATGCTAGATAAAAGCATGTCATGCTAATAACCTTCCCAAAATCTGATTCATAAGTAGATAATCCGTTGTAAACTTCAAAAATATCAAAATCTAATATTTTTTAATTTTTGTGGACCCCTGTTAAACACCTCAATAATAAGTAAATGGTAATGTTGACAAGTGCTCAACAAGTGAAAACGTATGCAGGAATATATGTTTCATCATTTGAACTCATCAAAACAATTGCAGGATGAACAGGAGGAAACAGCTTAATTAAGGCTTATCTGAAAAATTCCTTTATCCCTATAACGGAAACGCAGTGCAATTCTGGGCATTACATGTATTCTGAAAACTATTCTCACACACCACAGGGTAGTTCTGTAGTTCTGTAGTCTGCAGGCTGTTT